CTGTTTATTATGGGACAATCCCTGAAGGATCATTTTAATCAACAAGTGGTCATAGTCTGAATTCTAAATATAGTTTTGCCTAGAAGGTAAATCAAGAGCACTATTTTTATTTGTCACCCGTTATCTTGCCCCAACCCTCGATTATAGATATTTGATCTAAAAGGATTTATAGACCCTAAGTCAATCCCTGAAGGATATTTGGTGTATGCGGGTCTTATTGTCAATGGTCGTATTGTACTCCAGTAGTAGTACATGACAAAATTATGCTAAGTGTTTGGTCATTGGACTATTTTTTAATAAGGTCTGGAAGACCCTGAATGTGGATTGATCTTTAAGGTGACTAATGACTCATGAATGAAGTTTGCAACTTCTATTTATAATGCTATGCTACTCTCCAAAAGTCAATATTGACTCACATCATGTTGGTTTGCCTGAAGCAAACAAGTTGTGATTTTTTTTTACACATAGTAATCACTGCCTGAAAATTCTGACCGGCGCAGTTTGAAAATTAAATTCGTGAAAAATACTTGTTGAACTCCTTTTGGCATGAAATTTTTTATGGAGAACCTAGACTCGTGATATTTGATGTCTGTAAAAATATTTTGTTAAAAATATGCTTTGGTTATTCCAGAAAAATTTGTAAAGTTTTGGCAGTGTGCTGCCAATTATTTTTCTGCCTGGAGCAATGTTGTGAAAAATTTCAGAAAAAATACTTTCACACCTTGGATTGACATGAAAATTTTTATGTACGTTCTAGACTTACTGAACTACATATCTGCCAAATTTTGTGTCAAAATGTGTTACCTTTTTCCCCAGAAAATTCTGCAATCCAGGTCAAAATTCTGAAAATTTTCTGCCGTTTTCAGCTTGTATATCTTGCTATTTTGTGATGTTTTCATGCTGAGATATGAAACTATGAAATAAAATGAGAGTTTGCTTGGAAAAGTGCTGTTTTTGACGCCCCGAAATAGGAATGAATGGGCCCGGCAGCGAACATGTGCTCATTATTATTCGGCGAACGGTACTTCTCTCATTTTTCTAATTTATGAATTAATAAACAATATCTCTTGTCATGTCATGCCTTGTGTGTACCAAACATGATATTCTTTATTTAATGGATATGCATGACTCAATTGAGTGTTTGGTGTCCAAGACATAAGGGACAATTATATCACATGTTGCATGTGCTTCTCTTTAATTGACAACATTTAGCATATAATCTCTTGATTATGTTCACATAAGAGATTTTGTTATTTATCTTGTTGGCAATTTATGATTTGCTATAGGCCATAGCTATTGAGATTTATCACCCAACTTATAAGTGGGAAAATAGCATGAATTCTCAATATGGTTAGGTTGCACCTGTCGTTGCTAAACCTTAGCTTGCATGTGATAATAGTTAAAGGCTATGACATGTTTACAGTGCTAGTTTCTGCTATAGAAACTTTTTGACATGAGATTTGGGCATATGATATTTAAATTTATAGCTCTCATTATTTTGTATATTTATTTGCCCTGAAGGTAGATTAAGGATTTTAATTCTCTAAGTCATCCTTTTAGGATGAATCTTGACAATGAATTCTTGACCAAAAATGGTCAACCTATCCCATCAATCCCCGAAGGATTGTTTGACGTTACTATGAGTCAAATTCTTTTTATCCAAGTCTAACTCAATGCATATCACAAATCAATCCCTCAAGGATTGCTATACCCCCTTTTTCACCTAGTACGTGATTTCAGAAGTAACATTTTCCTATCTGCGTTATTTTATTTGCGCAGTCTATTTTATATCACCACCACAACGTACCTCTAAAAGGGCTATCAAAGAAACCTCCGTCTATTGATTAAATACAGAAAGCCCATGATAGGGGATCAATACATATAATTGGGTACGTTGACTGCATTCCTAATGAAGATTGTTTCTCGGCATTAGGGGGAGATAATATACTACTCCGTAGCTTTTTGGAATGCCAAGAAATTTCATAAGGATAAAAACATCTTCATTATTTAAATCCATGTACTAGTTAGATTGAACTGGAAGTTCAAAAGATAATCTATTTGCGATTTTAGCAAATAATCTGCCGAATACATCTATTGATCATAATGATCATAAAAGAAGTGACTGGGTCCTATATCCTTGGACCAAACATATCTATTGATACTCCTTGACACCAGAAGTGTAGGAGACCTATCGGTGAAAGAGATATGAATCATAATACTAGATCTAGTAAAGAAATATTGTCACTCTTGAAATAGTTTGAATAATTATGTCCTGCAGACGTTCGTCCAGATGACGAAAAACCCTGGTAAGACTTATAGGTGCACCAAACAAACGTAATACTAGGGATGCGGAACGACCAGATCAAAATATCTTTGGGAAATGTTTAGAATCTGGTTGTTTTAGAAATTGCCATTACTTTTACAAATATGGGAGTTTTACAAAAAAGTTATAGTTGTCGACAACACAATTGCTATTACAAATTGCTCGTTATATAATCTGGATCCAGAGTTAAGCACCAGAAGTGCCATGACTATTTAATATATAAAGGAGCAATTAAGGCATAACTCGACTCGCTAAAATGAATAAATTCTCTTTATAACAATACACCATTTGAGTGTTAACCCTGAAGGTTACAAATGTGTGTGTGCATGAAAGAGAAATAAGAATAATGAGGTGATAAAGCGAGTTTGTAGCCTATGGGTTCACGCAGAGACCCTTAATTGATTTTAATCAAATATAATCTCCCACGGTAAATGGCATTAAGTTCCGCTACATAATACAATTGGCAGAATAATAAATTTAGATATGCAGTTAAATTTATCTTGAGAAATCCCTGATGGATTCATAATTCTCATTTTTAAGTATTATTATGTGTCATTATCTACTCTTTAAAGGGTTGCGAATGGAGTTAATATCCTCATTGAAGGAATAATATGTACCATTGTGTGCTCGATAAAGGGTTGATAATGAACTTATTTATTATTTATTATCTCAGTCAAGATTGATGGTGTAAACATCAATGAAAGATATAAAGAGCTTGATGATGTCAGTTCATGTTTAAAGACTGAGACTTTTGAAACAAAAAGCTTGTGAAAGCTATAAGTATTATCTCGACTTGAAGATCGAGTTTTTCTTTACAGTTTTTTTTATACACCAGTCAGCCTACATCTAAAAATGCTTTTTCATATGTCTATATGCATATAAGTGTCATGTTTTATCAAACTAAAGGTTGCCTAATAATCTCTTGAAGTAGATAAGGAACCTTTTTGGACTCGAAGTCCCTTACTTCATTATCATTGGAGCACCATTATAGAACCAGAAGTTCCATAACCGCAACATATTTGCGATAAAATTGCTAGCAAAATCTAGTGTTCCCCCTACAAATGAAGTACTTGAATAATGATTAACATATCCTCCAGTATCTTCGAGATACAAAGACATGACATTTATGTAAGAAACCATGATACGGTTTTAATAGGCTACTTGGGTACTGGCTGTTTTGTTTGATCCCCGCAATGCCAAGTCCAAACTGGTTATACAATGAATTTCCCTAAATGTTCAAAATGAGGACAATAACACTTGTGTTGCACAAATGTTATATTAGCTCTAGAAGAGCCATAAGATTATTGTACACTACTCTAAGTGACAATCCAGAAGATTTGTCCAATCCATCTCTTCAAAATTTGAAATATATGTAGAACTTGAAGATTGTTATCTTCAGGGGGAGACTGGAAGTACATTTACTCGAATCAATCCGGAAGATTGAACATTGAACATAAAATCCTGAAGATTAAGTCATAAAAGACTAACAATTGCGCAGTATTTGCAACACATAAATACATAAATATCATGTACTCTTTTCCTCACTAGTTTTCTCCCATTGGGTTTTCTAGTGTGGTTTTTAACGAAGCATGAGTATGATATAGTAATGACAATGAGGAAAAGTTGCAAAATAATTGCTTAAATGGACAAACCCCAAAATCCTGAAGATTATGCGGTTTGCGCCCTGAAGGCTTATGGTTGTACTCTTTTTCCCTTAACTATGTTTTTCCCACAGGGTTTTTTTAAGTTAAGGTTTTTAATGAGGCGACCAAATACAATATATGTTTTTATATATATCATGTACTCTTTTCTTCAACTAGGTTTTTCCCACGTGGTTTTCCTAGTGAAGTTTTTAATGAGGCATGAATATATTTTCTATTGTACTCTTTTCTTGTCTAGGTTTTTCCCACAGGGTTTTCCTAGAAAGTTTTTAACGATGCTAGATCATCGACAAATAATGTCCAAGGGGGGAGTGTTATAAATAGTAATGATTGTGGACATTATTGTGTAACGGTTTCCTTTATGTCTCCATTATTGTATTCCGTTACACTTGTTATTATATATATGTCATTCTAATGTAATGATCATAGGTGTGGTATAAAGGAATAAGAAACCCTCTATTTTGTCTCTACTCTTCTTCTTGTTCTTACTGTTCTTCACGAGCTAAAGGCCTGCAAACAAACTTGCAATACAACAAATCTTATATTATGATTATATTTGATAATTATTGTTAACTTATTAATCAATTTTAACTTATTTGAGATTATTATTGATTATTTGACTTGATTAAACTATCAATATGAGTGTTTGATTAATTAGTTTTTTACAACAATTTATTGCTTCAAAATGCTAAAATTTAAAAATCGTTCAAAATAATTTTTTCCATGAATTTTTTTTAAAAAAATTATTTTACATGTAATCAACTATCAACTAACAACTAATTTATCAAATACTACAACCAGTTAATACTATCAACTAATCAAATTTACTAACACAATTAACTAATAATTATTTACTAAACACCCCTATCTCTATAATTAAATACGGAGTACATAGATTCCTGGGCACGAAATATAAAATTAACAAGTTTGTGGGCCCTATCAATAAATTAATTAAACGGTCATCTACTCATCTTTATCCGTAGCATAACCACCTCACCGGAAGAATCAGATATACAACCGAATACAAACTAGACCCTGAATTTCAATATAATTACGATTAGACCCCGCCTTCTTCTTCTTCACTCAACTTACTCACTTCTCGAAAATACTAGTACAAATCTGCAACTACCATTTTCCTCTTCAGTCTTCACTCCACCGGAAATGGCGCGTCCCACTACAGCTCAGCCTTCTTCCTCCTCCAACTCCCGCCCCGGCATGGTGGCTCCGCGAGGATCAGCGGCGGCAGCAGCCGGAATGCGCCGCCGCAGGCTTGGAGGTTCCTCCACTGTCAGCTCCGGCGGCGGGGCTTCAGGCGGCCCAAGCAACATGCTGAGATTCTACACCGATGACGCCCCGGGGCTGAAGGTTAGCCCGACCGTCGTCCTCATCATGAGCGTCTGCTTCATCGGCTTCGTCACCGCCCTCCACGTCTTTGGCAAGTTCTACCGCTACCGATCCGGCGGCGAAGCCTGATTCTCGGCTTTGATTCTTACTTCTCAGATCCTGAAGACCTGAACTATCACGATCACCGGTAACTTGACCCCGCGAGGGTCAAATTAAAATATCTCTTGTAAATTCTTATCAAAATTCCCCCGTTTCTTTGGATTTGAGTTTCATTAGGATCAAATATGTGAGATGAAAAGGAAAGTTGGATGAAGTTTGAGTTTAAAAAGCTGTTTTGATCCTTGAAGTGTGATGGTAATATATGTAGTACTATTGATTTCCAATTATCTGCTCAGTCATAATATTTAGATCAGAGTTCAAATAATTGTGTCGTTTTTGCTGAGTCTCGATCTGCATTATTATATTGTAGGCTATGGCTGTCTAACTATCTTTTTAGATTGATCATCAGAGTGTCCTTTCTTGCTCCTCCCGTGCTTCGAAATACTTGACATGGTGGGTTCTACTTGCATTTTTTACTAGAGTGGAATCTTTTACTTTCTATGTTGCTGGAAGTTGTATGTGGTCTGTTGAAAGGGCATTGGATACCTCAACTGAGTTTATTTTATTTGAGTGACTTTCCTTAGTGCACTTCATAAACTTACCACTTCTCTTCAACCATATATATTGGAGTGAAAATGATTTCTTTATGATTTCAATTGGTGAGAGATGCTATTTGAATCTTGAATGTCTGTAGCAATCATCCAAATTGGTTTGCAGAACTTGGGCTCAATGCCAAATCTTTGGTTGCTTAGCTAGTTAGAGCTTTACCCTGTGTGTAGTCTGGTGATACTCATTAGGAATTCATGACTTTGCTAATGGGTGGGAACTAACATCTTAAAATGTTAAATAAATGACAACAATGGCTGCCACCTTGGTATTATGGGACCATGGCGTTGAGAGTTAACCTTCAGGAACTCAGCTAACAGCCTGAAATGTGGCCAAACATGTCCAAACTTGTTTTTCCAGCTCAGTTATTTATTTATTTTATGCTGCAAGTCTCACTATGGGATTAGTCACATATTGTATCCTGTACTGAAGTCTATCATTTTCCCATCTGCCCCTTTTTTCATAATGACAACTAGACATGGATATGCTTCATTGTCATGCTATTCAATTGGATTGAAATATTATGAATACGAAGATTATCTGTGTGTTCTAATTTGCATTGTGTTGTTGTAGTATCAATAAAATTGAACATGTGCTCAATCTCAACTAAAAGCCTAAGTTTATAGTTGAATTATACATTTATGTTCATATATTATATGCTCAACACGCCCCCTCACGTGTGTAACTGTGTACACCGATTACTTGCATATTTATATTTATATATTATATATGTTCAACAAGTGATTGTGACAGCTTGTACACCGCCATATCATGGCTCTCACATTTGCATCAGGGATACCATGGGAAGTGTTCTGTAAACTGCAAGTATTTTTGAGTTAGCCTCCAGATTTCTCTCTTTTTTGTTTTTTTGTTTTTTTGGCATTACCAAAGTGATTGCATTCAGGGTTTCCAACATAGATTACTTGATAGGAAAATAGTATGTGTACTCTCACTCTATATTCTTTACTTTTATTTCCATACACAAAATCTTGATGTAAACACTTGTATTGGGACCCACATGAAAATAATAGCTTATCAGAGTCTGTCACATCAAGGAGTAAGATTTGAGAGTACATGTAAAAATTCTACTTGATATGTGTTATTAGCCTCTAAATTTCTCAACCAATATCTGGCTGTTTATTTAAGTTATAATAATTGATGTTGGTTTGATAGTTGGGATTGCCTTTGACCCCAAAGAAAATTGGCATTCAGCATCCATATTGCACAAATTTTAGTTCCTATAGTGTTCCATCAAAACCAATTGGTGCTTGTTGGGCTCAATTTGAGATTTTTGAATAAACAACTTTACAAAAACAGGGTTTGCCTATTATCTAGCAAGGCTTTTATTTATTTATTTTTTAAAGAAAAAAGTGTAAAATTGTTTGCTGAATTTATTGCACGCTTATGTGCAGTTAAAATATTTGTTTGGAAAAATATTCTAATTGCACATGTTTTAATCAATGATCTAATTGCAAAAAATAATAAACTCAGTTGTTTATTTAGCACTTATTTCTTCTTTTCTGCCCAATTTATATTCTGTAATAAGTTGTGAATGAGCTAAGCCAAACAAGTACCTATAAATGTTACTATTGCAACAAGGGGAAATACCAAAGTTGTGCAACCTAATTTTTTACTTTTTGTTTTGTCATATGTATCTTTCCCCTGTTACAAATGTTGTTATTGCAATAGTAGCACTACTAACATTTTTTTTTTTTTTTGAGAAAAGACAATTGCATTAAATCAAATCCGAGGAAAGAGTATTACAAAGGAAGATGGGAGCGTTAACGAATCACTCCGAGCAATTAGACAAAGAAATAGATTGCCTTGCAAGTAGATGAGCCGTCTAGTTCACAGATCGCTTAGTAAAAGATAAACTAACTTAAAGTAAAATACTCATCAAGTTTTTAATTTCAACTAACAACAAATGAAAGGAAGAATCACCCGACGTAGAACTAAGTTCTTGAACCACCTGTAATGAATCTGTTTCCATGATAATATTGTCGAAGTCAAGGCTTTTCAACCAGTTTAGGGATTCTCTTATGGCGACAACTTCGACCTCTCGGACACCACTCCATTGTGTTCCTCTTGCAACAACGAAGTAACCTTGATCATTCTTAAGAACACAGCCAAAGCCCATTTCGGCACTATGCTTGTCGATAGCAGCATCAACATTCAGCTTCAGTAATCAAGGTCACTTCGTTGATGCTGCTATTTGTATCTCTCTCATTAAAAATGGATTTGATGGTCTCTTCATCCCAGTTGCAGTTTGTTGGATCAATAAGATCAGCCACTGTTGTGTTTTCCATTAACGAAAATGGGTAAGAAGTCACTTTGGAATTAGATAAATCTGGAAGCCCATTATCGGACCAAATTCTAACTTGATTACCATTCCCAATTCTCTACCTTGAATGATTAGGGATTATGTCCTGGGTCGCAAGCAAGCTACTCCAGATATAAGAGGGGTTAGCTCAAGCTTTTGCTTCCAGAAAAGAGGCATTCAGATAGTATCTTACCTTATAAATCTGAGATGCAAGTGAGTCATGTTTCTATAAAAGGTTCCAGGATAATTTGCATAAGAGAACTAGATTGAAGTCATAAAAGATTACGAAATCCAATACCTCCCTATTTCTTTGGGTTACACAAATGGTTCCAAGATTTCTAATTGAAGCCCCCGTTAATCTGCCCTCCACCCTTCCACCAATAAGAGTTCATGATAACTTCAATTTCCTTGGCAAGTCTCTGATCTTTGGTAGTAAGAAAACTCCCATGGCATATGTGGGAAGTGCTTGGGGGACAGTCTTCAATAATATCTCATGCTCTGCTCTAGATATGAACCTGTTGATTGCTATAATCTGTAAGCGCACAGAGTCAATCACAGTATAAATTCTTGGAGTATTCCAGGGTCAATTCCACGAAGAACACTATTGACTGTTAACTTAAATAATCAATTTGTTGATAAAGAAAGATGCAAATAGATAGGATTAATGTAATTAAATAGAATATTTATGAATTTAAAGCAAAGAAAAACTTTCAATTGAGAAAAGACTAGGGATTTGGGGTTCACCTATTAGATAATTAACTAACTCTCCTAAATATTAATTCCTGTAATTATAGTGATGATTGCTCCAATTATATCCTAATACTCCGTCGAGCTACTAGGTTGTATCCAATTAACTGTGATCATCCGTCGATATCTCACCAACATTAATTGAACACATTAAGCAACAATCAAATCTAACCACAAATACCTAAATCTATGTCTAGTCTAGGTCAATTGTGTTTATCTTACGAGTTCTAGGTTTATAATTCACCTGTTAGTTCTTCTTATAAACCCTGATATTAGAATTATGCAATGGCCAGTCACACAATCCACAAATAAAATACATAAAATAAATATAATCAAGTTCAATCGTTAAACTGAAATTGGAAGAATTAACACATGAAAAATAGTCAATTAATCTAACCAAGGCTAATCCAAATCCCTAATTAAAGTTCTAGCCAAGAACCATAATTAAATGTATGCGAAGTTCAAGAAATAGCATTCTGAAAAATTAAATAAGAAATAAAATAGAGAACAAGAATAATTCAAGCCTAAGAGATGATAATTGTGATTGAAGCACGAAAATTCCTTGCGATAGAATCTTCTTGCCGAAATCTCCGCTGCGCTCCCAAGCTCTCGTAATCTCCTCTCTTTTTTTTCTGTTCTGTTTTCGTATCTCTGTTCTTTTGGCTGCGCAAAAACCCAAATAAACTTCCCCCTTTTTTTCCTTTACTGCTGCGCCAATCTAATAAGAAAAACAAAATAAAGTTAAATTCAAATAAAATAATTATAACCTCATGATATAATAATTCAATTAAACTTAAATATTAAAACACTTGTTAAAAAATAGAATGAATAAAACTACCAAATAAATTTAATACTATAGATAAAATAAAACTCTTCTTTATATATTAATAAAAATGCAACATTAGCCTAATATTTATTAAAATCAATCTAAACTAGTAACATATAGATAATATAATATTTAGTATAAAATCGATCCTAAAACTTAATTTATTTATGCAACTCACTAACTAAAATTACTCTAAATAATGCCTAAAAATTAACCTTATCAAACTTCTCCACACTCAAGGTTTTGCTTGTCCCCAAGCAAACTTATGCAATGAAATAAAACTATCAACCATAACCATGTCAACTAGGCATTCAATTCAAAGGAATGGTGAACACATAATACTTCATGAGAGTTCAAAGTCATATGCACACAGGACCAATAGAGAATAGTAGTCCTCACGGTTGTTCGCCCAATCTCTCATAAATATATGTATAAGAAAGGTACACACCATCCTCTATTGAGAGTGCACTTGCCATAGGCTTGCTCGTCAACCAAAACTCCACTATCAAAATTATATGAAGAACACGAGTCAAAAGGTCTTTATTTCTGGGGTGAATGGGGCCAAGGGTATGTGGTTTAAGAAAGAAAGGATATAAGGAAATACAAATAAAGTCCAAGGAATCAGTAGAACCATAATTTCACCATATCAAGAGCAAGAACTTGTATTCTACCATACAACGAACTCTACCAAAACAAGCAATCACTACTTCATTCTCCCTCATCCTTTTCACCGATAAACTCCCAAAACAACTTCAAAATCTCATTTTTCATTTTTTTTCTGTTTGTTTTTCATTTTTTTTTTCCTGGTAAAACCGAATAAATAGCTCATTTCCGCATCACCCCTCAATGGAACTCTTCCCATAATCATCAAATTTCTATCATGCCCTCATTACTCATAAATCATTTTAAGAATAAAATGAGCACAAAAGCTTGGGCTAACAAGATTTTTCAACCCACAAAATTAGAACATATCATTTTGTTTTTTTTTTTTTTTTTTTTTTTTCATTTTCACCCCCTTTGATCACAAACAATTCTTCAGTCAAAGAAAACCAATTGTACAATCACCTTTCAACTCCAATCTCACCCATACTTCATCACTTTTGGTCATCTTGCACAGATAAATGAAATAATGACATCCACTGACCCAAAGATGGGTTAAAAGGCTTCTTTTATGAGCCAAGGTTCTTTGGAACTGGCTAAGGAAGAAAAATGTCTTATATTTATTTTAAAGCTCAAAAATGGTTCACTAGGGAAAATATCACATGTATAAGGATGTGGTCATTTTTAAGGCTATAAGGCTAAATACTAATGCCTTAATCATTCTCGTGTCATCATATAACATGTAGCTCTGAAATGGTATGAAGCAAATTCTAGAAGTAACACAATCGAAGAAGGCAATAAACACTCAAAATGAAAATAAGTTGCAGTGGGCAACCTCTAGGCTCAAAAGCTCACGGTGTGACAGAATTGACTAAATCTATGCAAGCATACATATAGCCAAACACATTCATTGATATTATGTACTCCCAAAACACTAGAACTTATCTCCCAATCAACATAGTCATTAGATGGTATTTTTTAAAAATGCAGAAATTTTTTTGTGCTGAAAATTTTTAAAAAAATGCAGAAAGAAAAAACGCAGATTTTTTTTTTTTTTTTTTGTTTTAATTGCATAAAACTTGCAGAAAACATCCCCTAAACTTACTTTCCTTTCCCCACACTCAAACTCAACATTGTCCTCAATGTTAAATAAGAAAGCAGGTATGAGAAAATGAAATAAATAGGAAACTTTCCTGTTAGTTGCCAATTTCTTTCGGGACTGCCTTTTGGTGAAGCAACCATGAATAGTCTCTTTTTATCTCGTTCAATCTCTATGGCCACATAGGAACGAACTTTAGTGACCATGAAATGACAAAACCGTCTAGACTTCAATGTCCCTAGAAAAAGCTTAAGACAAGAATTAAACAACAAAACTTCTTGCCATACTTTGAATTCTCTCCAAAAATTATTTTTGTCATGCCAAGCTTTAGTCAAAGTTCTCCATAGTCTCTCTTCTTTTGCATTAAGTAAATGAGCATAAGAAAAGTATCATTGTTACTCAAAAAGTCATATTTGAACTTCAATGAAAGTGGTTTAAGTTCAAGTCGAGGTGGTGTTTCATTAAAAGGTAATGGAAAAGGGTTGCCACAACCTAAATCTTCATATTTCCTACTAAGATGTGCAGGAAAATGACCTTGACCTTCTAATCTCATCATAGACTCAACAAATTCTGGTACATTCTTTTCTATTGGACATGCTTCCAATGGATCATTAGGTGCATGCTTAACAAATACTTCTTTTGAAGGTTTCTCAATAACATCAACAAAAAGACAAGATTCATCAAAGTTGGTAATTTTATAGCTTTAGAGATAGAAAATTCTTCTTTTTCTGTTCCTACTCTAAAAATCAATTTCCCTAAAGGCATATCAATTATTACTCCTCCTGTCAACAAAAATGGCCTACCAAGTATAATAGATGTATCTGTATCACTACTCATCAAGAATCAGAAAATCAGCAGGAAAATAAAATTTACCAACTTTTACCAAGATATCCTCCACTACTCCAAGCGGGTACTTGACTGATCTATCAGCAAGTTGAAGAGAGATTGTTGTTGGCTTTATTTCAGCTATTTCCAACTTATTGAAAAGAGTTAAAGGCATAAGGTTAATACTGGCACCTAGATCACATAAGAATTTATCAATGACAGTATTACCAATAGTGCAAGGAATAGAAAAACTTCCTAGATCCATTAGCTTAGGAGGTAACTTGCTTTGTAGAATAGCACTACACTCCTCATTTAGATGAACAGTACCAAACTCTTCTAATTTATTTTTATTAGACACAATTTCCTTAATGTACTTGGCATAAGATGGCATATTGGCAAGTGCTTCTGCAAAGGAATATTAATTTGCAATTTTTTAAAAACCTCTAAGAATCTTTTGAAGTTATTATCCTGCTTCCTCTTTTGTAACCTTTGTGGATATGGAATGGGGGGTACATAAGGTTTTACTGTAGAGGAAGTGAGGTTTTGATCACTAGAATTCTCTTTAGGCACTTGCTCTTCTTCTTTCTTACTCTCTTTTTCCACACTCATGGGTTCTTTTTCTTTCAAAACTTCATTCAATATCTTACCACTTCTCAAAGTGACAGCCATAGCTCCTTCCCTAGGATTTATTTCAGTGGTACTAGGAAACTTACCTCGATTTTTTTCTGCAACCAATTTAGCCAACTGACCTACTTTCACCTCTAAATTATGAATGGATGCTTGGTTGGACTGAGCAACCTTATCAATTTTTGCATCCATTTTCTTCATCATAGTGTCCTGGCTAGCCATGTATTGCATGAACATCTCCTCCAATTGAGGCTTCTTCTCCTGAGCAGGAAGTTGAGACTGTTGTGGTGCAGGTGGCTGCTGGAAAGGTCTATATTGCTGATGCTGGAATCCTGATGGTCCTTGTTGCTGGAATCCGGGTGGTCCCATTGGTCTTGCATTACCTTGATCTCTCCATGAGAAGTTAGGGTGATTTCGCCAACCTGGATTATATGTATTAGAAAATGGATCATTTCTTGGTGGTTGCCTACCCATGTTGGATCCCATGTAATTAGCTTCCTCATAAGATGGTTGTGATGACTCTGCATTCATACAAACAGAAGAATTATGACCATATGTATTGCAAAAAGCACAAAATTCTCTATTCGAACTATCACGAGTCATCAACAAGTTAATCTGTTTAGTCAATTAAGCCATTTGTGTTGTCAACTCAGATTGTGTGCTAATTTCATGCACAACAGCTCTTCGACCTCTCACTGCCTTTTGTCGAGAATTAGTAGCTAAGCTCTCATAGATAGCTTCTAATTCATCACTATTTTTATCACTTGTGTATCCACCTGCAGCAGTATCTACAAGAGACTGACAATTAGGAGTTAAACCATCATAAAAGAATTGTGTCAACAATAACAATGGAAATTGATGGTGTGGACATTGTGTCAAAAGCAATTTAAAACGATCCCATGCCTCATGAAATAACTCCCCCTCTCTTTGAGTAAAAGTGCATATCCTACTCCTATAGTCCATTGTGTTTTGAGATGAATAATATTTAAACATGAAAGCATTGTAAACATCATCCCAGGTTCTTAAAGTACCCTCTGCCACTGCCTAGCATCAGCCCTCATACAATATGGAAAACATTTCATTCTAAGCTCTTCTTTAGATAAATTATTTAAAGGTAAAGTTTGTACCGCATGAAACCCAAATCATCTTCACTTCCCAAACCGTTAAAGGTAGGGAGCATATTCAGATGGAAGGTCTTGAGTTCATAATTCCTAGCTGCATCAGATAATTGAATGCAAGAAGGATTAACAGCTATTACCAGTCTTTGGATGTCTCGAAGACGTGGTTGAGCTGCTTGATTTTGAGGAGGTGGAACTATTGGTGGTATGGGGTCATCCTGTTGACCAATTCTATTGTTTTCAGCCATTTCAAGCCGCCTTCGTACCCTGTTTTTTCTGCAAGTACGCTCAATTTCAAGATCAATAGGAAATAATTCAACGTTCTTATGCCTTTTTGATCGCCTTAAGTTCATAAACAAACAAAATAAAAATAGAAAAACAAAAACTAAATAAAGATAAAAATAAAATAATAACGAACCTAACAACTAAAATAAATTTGAAAACAAAAACTTAAAAAAAACAGCTTAAATAAGTGTTCCCCGGCAACGGCGCCAAAAACTTGATTGCTATAATCTGCAAGCGCACAGAGTCAATCACAGTTTAAATTCCTGGAGTATTCCAGGATCGATCCCACGAAGAACACTATTGACTGTTAACTTAAATAATCAATTTGTTGATAACGAATGATTCAAATAGATAGGATTAATGTAATTAAATAAAATATTTATGAATTTAAAGCAAAGGAAAACTTTCAATTGAGAAAAGACTAGGGATTTGGGGTTCACCTATTAGATAATTAACTAACTTTCCTAATTATTAATTCTTGTAATTATAGTGATGATTGCTCCAATTATATCCTAATACTCCGTCGAGCTACTAGGTTGTATCCAATTAACTGTGATCATCCGTCAATATCTCACCAACATTAATTGAACCCATTAAGCAACAATCAAATCTCACCACAAATACCTAAAGCTATGTCTAGTCTAGGTCAATTGTGTTTATCTTACGAGTTCTAGGTTCATAATTCACCTGTTAGTTCTTCTTATAAACCCTGATATTAGAATTATGCAATGGCCAGTCACACAATCCACAAATAAAATACATAAAATAAATATAATCAAGTTCAATCGTTAAACTGAAAATGGAAGAATTAACACATGAAAAATACTCAATTAATCTAATCAAGGCTAATCCAAATCCCTAATTAAAGTTCTAGCCAAGAACCATAATTAAATGTACGGGAAGTTCAAGAAATAGCATTCTGACAAATTAAACAAAAAATAAAATAGAGACGAAGAATAATTCAAGCCTAAGAGATGATAGCTGTGATTGAAGCATGAAAATTCCTTACGGTAGAATCTTCTCGCCGAAGTCTCCGCTGCGTTCCCAGGCTCTCGTAATCTCCTCTCTTTTTTTTGTGTTCTGTTTTCGTATCTCTGTTCTTTTGGCTGCGCAAAAACCCAAATAAACGTCCCCCCTTTTTTCCTTTACTGCTGCGCCAATCTAATAAGAAAAACAAAACAATGTTAAATTCAAATAAAATAATTATAACCTCATGATATAATAATTCAATTAAACTTAAATATTAAAACACTTGTTAAAAATAGAATGAATAAAACTACCAAATAAATTTAATACTATAGATAAAATAAAACTTTTCTTTATATATTAATAAAAATGCAACATTAGCCTAATATTTATTAAAATCAATCTAAACTAGTAACATATAGATAATATAATATTTAGTATAAAATCGACCCTAAAACTTTATTTATTTATGCAACTCACTAACTAAAATTACTCTAAATAATGCCTAGAAATTAAGCTTATCACCTGTGATTCCATCCTTGGATATAGTTGGCAATTTTTCTTTTTTATAAAGCTTAGGATCTCCTTCTTGTTTTTTCCAATGATCATTGGGAGTCCAAGGTAATTGCCAGAACTACTTCCCTGTACCCCTAGAATCTCACTCAATCTTCTTCTATCCACTTCACCCACATTTTTGCTGAAAATGATGGCAGATTTGTTTGGATTTATAGACTGACCTGAGGCCTTTTCATAATCTTGTAGCAACTGTTTTAGATTTGAAGCCTCACTGATATACCATAGATTTTAACTTTCCTCTCATAATCCTTAAGCATTGCACTCAAGCCCTCTGCAACGATGATAAAGAGATAAGGTGAAATGAGATCTCCTTACCTAATTCTTCTACTAGGTTTAATAGGATCAATTTCCTCAGCTTTGTTCAACATAAAATACTCAACAGAGGTAACACACTCCATCACAAGGGAAACCCACCTTTCTCCAAAACCTAGTTTAAGCATAATACTACGCAACATAGGCTACTTTAGCCTATCATAGGCTTTGCTCATGTCGAGCTTTAAGGCTGCATACCCAACCTTGCCTTGAGTTTTCCTTTTCAAGTAGTATTGCAATTCGTAGGCTATCATAATGTTATCAATAATTAATTTGTCCGGTACGAATGCACTTTGGTTGTCAGAAATGATACCATTCAAGAGAGGCTTAAGTCTATTGGCAAGGGCCTTGGCAAGGATTTTGTAAGCTACTGTACATAGGTCTAAGGTCTGCCATAGTTTCGAGAATTTGTTTTTTTAGGGATCAGAACAATTTAGGTAGTGTTCAATCCTTTTAGGAGTTTACAAGACTCTAAGAACCCATTACAGAAATTGACTACTCTCCCCCAATATATCCCAGTAAGATTGAAAAAAAAACCCAGGTTAAACCCATCAAAGCCATGACTCTTATCAGGATGCATTCCAAACAAAGCTTTCTTAATTTCACCACTAGAAAATTTCATTAACAACATGCGGTTTTGGGTACTAGTAATCTTAGAGTTAATGCAACCAATAACATGATTATGATCACCCGTAGCACTAGTAAAAATGTTAATGAAATAATCCCTTACCAAGGCATTCATCTCGGGTCCCTGGGAAATCCAATTGCCTGCATTGTCTCTTAGCCTCTGGATTTTATTGTTCCTCATTCTCTGTTTGACGGCATTATGAAAAAAATTGGTGTTTTTGTCACCACCCTTATACCAAAACATTTTTGCCATCTGTTTCTAGAACTTATTTTGTTTGTTTAGAAGATTAATAAATAACCTCTGAGCCTGAGAGAATTCCAAAATACCTTGGTTGCCACTTCTTGTTCTATGGAGACTCATATTGTAACACCCACTTTTCTTAAATCTAAATCACAACTACTTAACTTCAAAAGGTAAACTAAACAAGATTAAAATAAGATTAATAACTTAAAACTATCCAACAGGGTGCCACCGCCACAGTCACCACACACGATGACTGCACATGCTAAGAAAGGTACTATCTAGAGTCAAGCTCATCAAATTAATATATCCAAACATGGTGAACGAAACCCCAGTGTTTAATACCAACAAAAGACCAACATAAGTATCTAAACATCATCATCCAAATCAAAATCTATACTAGCATCTAACATCTCAACTACGCGCTATATTATCTCGTACGCGCTCAAACACTAGGCCCACCTAAAAGGGGTTATAAAAACAGTGGAAAATAAACGCGTTAGCACGAATGCTAAGTATAAAGCCACTCAACCCTGTAAAGTACTATAGATATAGATTTTGAAAATAATTTGGCAAGCACACTTAAGCTCAAGTACTTACAACACTTTAATCAACAAACTCAAATCATGCTCAACAACAGCCTCTCCCAAGACTCAGTGAGGGACTCAGTTGCCAGTTGCTTAAAGTTTTGAATTGCCCTTCTCATCCTTTGCGTTTTGGAGATAGGATAGAACTTCTTCAAAAATTCTCCATGTAATTTGTCCCAAGTGTCAAAATGGTTATCTGGATGTGAGGATAACCAATCTTCAGCCCTGTCCTTCAGTGTAAAGGGAAAAAGCCTAAGTCTGACAGCATCCTGAGTGACTCCATTTATCTTGAAAGTGCCACAAAGTCGTAGGAACTTGGTGGCGTGAGCATTGGGATCTTCCGTGGGCATCCCTCCAAATCGATCTGCCGCAGCCATGCTGAGTATGGCCGGATTGATCGCAAAGTTATTGGCCTCCACATTTGGAATATTGATGCTACCATGCTCCTCAACATCCGGAGCAAGGTAGTCAGACATTGATCTCCCTCCAGCTTGGTTTTCTTGTACCTGTGCCATCCTAGTTTGTTTCCTAAGAAACTTGGCTCTTTTCTCAATCTTAAGATTCAAAGGTAATAATCCTTCTTTCCCACGAGATCGTGTATGCATAAAAAGCCAAGTTCTTAGATTCAAAGCAAAATCACACTCAAGAACAAGGAACTTGTTATGGATTAGTAAATAAAATAAATAAATAAATGAATAAATAAATAAAAAAAATGGACTAGACTCCTAAAGTAAGACTTTCACTAATGTCAGTACGTAACGCCACCTCCCCGGCAACGGCGCCAATTTGATTGCTGTAATTTGGGGCAAACAAATAATACCCGGAGTATTCGGGTTGTCGAACCACAGAGAGATGGGATACTAATCACTAGCTACTAGGTTACTCATATGAAACTAGTCCGAACAAAACTTGAAAGTGGATTGATTGCATAAAATAACAAGCAGAATAAAATAAGTAGAAAGGTTTTGTAGACAATAGAGCAAAATAGGATTCTTGGGGTCACAATGTTTAATCACCTAGTGCCAATTAACGTTTGTAATATTTGGTTTGGAATTAAGATTTGTATGGGAATGCAAAGTGGAATCGAATTACTCCCGTAATCCCTATTCCTAGTGAATTTCCACTCCCATGGCTTAAACACCCAATAAGATCAAAGATCAGCATTCAATTATTCCTAATTACTACCATCTCCCGATGAGCAATAATCTAGAATAAACTTCCCCTAATAAGTTCCCCTTTCCCAAGGACCAACCATTAGGTGCAATCGCATGTGCCCTAATTTATGCCCCAACTCCCATTGGTGACACAAACATGACTGTGAAGCTAGTAATTTAGGCCTTTAACTACCAACAACAACAGATTAAAACAAGATTGCAACACAAATCATAAAACCAAACATAAATATATTAAGAAATTAACGAACTAGGCACATAGGTTCATAAACAAATTCACCCAAAAATCCCTAAGGAATTTAGCCGAGCATGGCTAAATTATACATAGCAAATATGAATAAAGGATTACAAATCATCAGAAGAGTACAAGAATTAACCAAGCGATTCTCCCAAATCTCCCTGGCTTCCTCCTTGCTTCCAAAGACGACTTGAGCCTCTTGATTTCTCTCTTTCTTGTCTACAAAGAACTCTAAAAATCTCTGGGTCTGGTTTTTTAGGGTTGAGGAAGGAGGGATTTTATAGTAGGTATAAAGTTGAGACGAAATAGGAATCTGGTACAAAATTGGACTCAAATTGGACTCAAATATCTCGCGACTTCGTGCTGCGCCCGACGCGTCGAGCCAATTCTCCACGCGTCGAGACCTGCTGCGCCCGACGCGTCGAGCCAATTCTCCACGCGTCGAGACCTGCTGGTCTCGATCATAAACCTTTCTGGAAATTTTCGACGCGTCGAGTCCTCTGGGTCCCGAACTTGTCCAAAATTGCTCCAAACTCATCCTTGAACTTCCCTTGCTCATAGAATTGACCTACAATGGTTCAAAAAACGCTAACAAACACCGTAAAACATTCAAAACAAGTGCGAACCATAATTAAATGATAATAGCAAGGAAAACATGTATTAAATAAGCAAAATGAAAGAGCTTAATTACTGTGATGATTCAAAATAACCATAAAAACAAGAACAGATGTGCTAACATCACCCCCTCACACTTAAGCTTTTGCTTGTCCTCAAGCAAAACTAAGGAATAAAATCACAAGTCAAAACATACAAATTACTCATGCTCTCTCTTGCACAACCTTTCAAACCACCAACCAACTTGCTACAAAACAACAAGCTTCAAGAATCAAATTAGTTTGGCACATAAGAGACCCATTTCCAAGCCAATAACTAAGCACCAAGAATTTAAAGCATGTGAGGATCAAATGTGCACAAATACTCAGTTGAGATTATGCAAGATACGGTTCATGAATGAGATCCCTTAGGCTTGCCTTTCATACTCCCCTAGATCAAATCTAAGAATGCATGCTAAGATCAAATAGGACTTTATTTAGCTTGTAATGGGGCTACGGGTGATGGCTAACAAAGAAGTGGTATGGATAAATTAATCAAAAAGAGAGAATGTCACAATTTATCTAAACTTTTCAAAATTTGGAAGAGATGAGATAATCATAATTCCAAGGAGCAAATTTCTTTTAAGAACTTAGCAACTCTTTGGTAAAGTGGGGATCCAAACTCAAAAACTTTCAATCTTTTTTTTTTTCATTCTTTTCTTTGGACTTCTTTTGGATATAGCAAGATAATTTTAATCCAAACTTTCATGACCTCCACACTTGAGCATTTGTAACACTGGCTGTTTTTTTTTTTCTTTCGTAGCACAACTCCATAAAAACTCTTCTTACGGAAAAGATAAAGATAAAAGTTTCATTCTCTCAAGGGTGGAAGGGAAATATTTGGTCACGGGCTAAGGGTTATAATAATGGGGTAAATCAAAGAAAAACAATCACAAAGAGGGGATAAGTGCTTAGCACTTATTTGAACAAACAAAAGGCACAATGGGGAAACGAAGGATAAAAATATATATATAGGGACAGGTTTAAAGGCTATGACTAAACAATAATGGCCTAAATCACTTCAAAACATGCAAAACTTAGACATCACTTAGGGAGTAATGAGGCAAGTTCTAGCAAAAACACACATGACCGGAATCTCACATAAGCCTTCACTAGCAATGCAAAACACAAGATCAAGGATTAATCCAATTATTAAGTGGTTAACAAAGCTATTGGCAAGGGAATAGATCAAATATGTGTTACACCTCAAATCATCCATCACAAATTGAGATGCAGCAAGCACCACTAAAACAAACCACAAACCAACAAGAGAGAGTAATTGTAACTGCATGCTAAGACAAGTAACTTATTCACCAAAAATAGCATATGAGTCATCCAAGCAAAAGCAAAAATTTTTAAAATTTTAGAAA